AGTGGTCACTAGGATATAAAACCAACAACAATACACTTCCAGACATTGCAGACTTAGCCTTTTTTCCTCTGATTTTGAACTATTTTTGCTGCAGTGGATTAATGTCTATACTAATAATGATAGGCTTTTACATATGCAAAAGCTTTCAACTCTCCTGATTGGTGAAGGCATACAGCCGCTGTGCTCCAGCTTGTATGTTTCCTGCTACTCTGTACACACCAAAGCTATGCTGTTGCTCTTATTATGTCCAATATTCCCACGTTTAAGCCTCAGAAAGTCTCTTTAGCTGCTAATGCAGAGCTGTGTTCAAACAATGCCAATAACAGTGTTTGCCTTTTGGTTTTGCATACTTAGCATGCGCTAGTTTGTTTTCTTATGAACAAATATTGATTTGTGCGTCTCTAAAGACTCCATACAAGAAAACAGTTTCTTTTAAGTGACACTAGCTCTGAACCCAGCACCCACCAATGCTAACCACTGCACCACCAAACTGCCTGCATAGCAGACGTGCAGCACACTGAAGTCATGTGTGTGTCCACCTGATGAATCCAAGTCGAAACTCTCCTATCGATTTTTTTTTACTCCCAGCAAGCTCCAGTTATTCTATGTGTCTGTCATATCAGGTGGTAAGTCTTTATGCATTTAGTGCTATTTCTGACGCCTACCGCATTAGATATAGTTGCACACATTGCACAAATTGTTACTACACATAGCGCAGCTTTAAATTAATCAGCTTGTTGAAACAGCTGCATGTGTTAAATCGTGAAAAGAGAACCATGAAGCATTTATTACTCACAGAGAAACGTGCACTATTTACTCAGAAAAAGGAAGGCGCATCAGTTATGGCATCAATTTACCTTTCTCATCATGCTGCCTTTTTTTTTTTTTTGCTTTCTGCAGCCTTCCCACTCAGTTTGTTTTTTCGATATTGTTAAAGGGGATAAATGGAGGTGGATCTCAAGAACAGATAGCTTTAAAAAGCACAGCATAACCACAGGTGGCATGACAAAAATGGAGGACAGAATGTTTCAGTGTTAGATCTGGCTGTACAAGAAACCTTCAACCTACACTGATACATCTGAATGTGTGATTTAGAGTTTATTTTCTCCTCTGATTTTCTGGCTCACTGTGACCATAAAGCTTCAGCTCTATTTGGAATGGATGCACTGGCGAGGATGCTGAGAAGTGCTGAGAAGTGCTGAGCAGAGGGAGGTGGGGGGGTCTGGCTGGGTCTGGCTTGGCAGGGTGCTACAGCAGTTAATTAAAGCTGCTGGGCAGGTATTTCGGGATTAGGAGTGGGTGTGTGGAAAGGGCCTCTGGTGGCCTTAGCATGAAGTCATCATCTCATGAGTAATAGTGGCTGTGAACACTTGAGTGTGCCGGTTGTTTCTTCAAATGCTTGTGGTTGTGTCAGTAGAATTTGCTTGATGTGGTGCGTCTCTTTGTTATGACTGGCGCTTGCTTTATGGCACTGATCGCGTTTACCAGTGAGACATCTCATTAATGTGGCGATAAAATGTCATTTTGCTGGACAGTCAATCATGGGGCTTATTCAGCTAGTGAGTAAACACTCTTATGTAATGGAGCGTGTGATTATTTTTCCTACTTTTATTTTCTTATCATCACAAATAATGTTGTCATTTAAACAACATTGGAATTCTTATTATCGTTATATAAGATTTGCTTCATCATCGGGAGAAAATGGCCTGGAGGTATTCTGAAAACATCACAAGACTATAATTTGCCAAATCAAGATCACGATAACAAGAAAAATAAATAAATATTTGGGGATTTGTGATCTTTAAAGAACACATCCACAAGACGTTAGCGGACATGCTCAGTTAATAACTTTATTTATTTCAGACCTTCAGTCTAACTCTGGGTCACACCACCTACAGAAATACTCTGACGATTCAGTTGAATGCTTACGTGATGGGCAGGAGGAGTACAGAGCACTACTGGATTATTCTGTGGAGCGGGGTGGGAAGAATTATTTTCTTTTGAATGTGAATCAGACCAGAGAGGTGGTGATTGACTTCAGAAGGAAGACGACGGCATCACGACTCCTGTCTGTCCTGGAACAGGATGTTGATGTGAAGGAGGAGCGCAAAGTACCCGGGCATCTACATCGATAGCAGGCTGAACTGGAATACAAACAGAGAAGCTGTGCACAAAAAAAGGGGGATGAACAGGTTCTACTCCCAAAGGAAGCTGAGATCCTTCTGTGTGTGCAGGAAAACGATGGAGATTTTCTTTTTTACCAGTGAGTTGTGTTGAGTGCAGTGTACTTTATTGCGGCATCAGAGAAAACTGTCTCTGTGCCTGTGACTGGCTCCAAACTGGACACCTTTGAAACTTGTAAAAAATGTTTCACATCATGTGACCACCGTCTGCACCACTCACTGGACAGGCAGTGGATTGCCTTCTATAACAGATGCATACCACAAGGACGGGAAATCTTTTATGCTACATGCACTTTATAATACAATATATCTGTCTGTTACAGAATCATCTGCAAGATCTTATCTTTATATGTCCTGTAGTGTATAGTCCTGGGATTTTGCATCCTATCAGCCTGAGGGTGTGCTTGGTGTGCAACAACAGATCTCGGGGCTTGAGGTTTCCCAGCAGCATGGTGTTTTGTAACAAGTGGATCAATGAATTTCACTTGACCTTTCAGAGGTGTTAATGTTGCGGCTGATTGGTGTGTGTGTTATACCTTCTTCCTCCAGGTGGCCGAAAAAATTGCCGTGACACTTTAAATCACAAGTACTCGATCTTTTGACCATGAATGAACTCTGTCCTCTGTTTTTTATTAGGGGAGCTTCTCCGTCTTTCTCCTCTACCCCCGCACACATATCCATCCAGTTATGTCACTGCAGCTCCCAAACATTCCCTCATTTACGCTCACATACGCTGACACACACACGCACCATATGGTTGAATGTCAGACAGCTGCAAGACCTGAAGTGATGTGGCAGGGGATTGTGTTGCAGAAAGTGATGATGATGAAGATAATGATGATAGCTTCTGCTCACAGCAGCAAGAATGAACTGCCTCCATGTTTAGATGTATACGTCTGTACGAACTGTGTGTGCGTGTGTGTGTGTTTATGTGTGGGTGCTTTGTGTCAGTGTGTAAGCCGACTTGCTATTGTGTACGTGTGTCCGTGTGTCACTCAGCCTTGTGATAGATACCGAGTTGTCACATCTATCAAGCAGACAACAGTTCCACATGCATATTCATCATTATGGTAATTTCATCCAAAGCGCTTTAATGAGTTCACAACATTAACAGCTCCGATGAGGTGATGAACAAAAGCTTTGCAGCTTTTTTCCCCCTGTCCCTGTCACTGACTCATAATGAAACATTTATTTGGTACAGTTTTCCTGAGTGTGCTAAACAAATGTGTAGGGCATTGCTGTAAAGTAAAGCTGTCACTTTTATTTATTTATTCCTTGTGGTTTAGGAATAATGTGGGCAAGGGGATGTTTCAAGTATTCAAGTTACGTTTAATAAGAGTGACCACCAGATGGCAATTACATTCATATGTGGAAACTGACTCTGCTGTTTATCCGTTGTTGTAAATATTCCCTGTGTTACAGTATAAACGACACATTTTAAGGGACTCGCACTCTTACAGTCGAAGCAGGCTCTGGCAAACTAATGGGGCGAATCTGTCACCTAGTGGTTAAATTAAGAGGTGAGACAAAAGCAGCTCTCGTTTCATCAGCAGAGATCTAGGGTATTGTTTATGTAACAATGCAACAATGTGAGTTTGGTGACAGGGAGTCTGGAGACACATTAAAGGAAAATCCTGAGTAAATCAGTGGAGAAACACAACGAATGCAGATGTTCATGAGTGGAACATTGATTCACCGAATGGTTTGATGAGCATGAAAATGATGCGATTCAGATGTTTAACCCAGTTGAACATCTATGGGAGATTTTGGACTCAAATGTTAGACACAGAGATGTCTTTCAGCTGGCTTGGGATTGCTTTGATGTCCCACCAGAAGAGCTGGAGGAGGTGGTTGGGCAGAGTGAGGTTTTATGCTTAAACTGCTGCCTCAATAACCTAGACCCTGATGGATGGATGGATGTTTGACCACCCTACAGCAAGTGTTTTGATCCTTCCATCTTGGCAAGTCCGTCACAAGATGCACTGAACCTTAAGTGAAGGTGAACGAATTTGCTAGTCTGTGCCTCCTGTGACACCTCCATCTTCTCGGGTCTTCTCAAAATCCAATTTAATTTTAAGCAGTCACCTCAAGGCACTGGAAGTTAAGGAACATATAATAATAGAGCCCCAACAATCAAACGACCCCCTGTGAGCAAGCACTTGGCGACAGTGGGAAGGAAAAACTCTTATTTAACCAGGAAGAAACCTCCAGCAGAACCAAGCTCAAGGAAGGGCAGCCATCTGCCGCGACTGGATGGAGATGAGGGGAAAGAAGAGAGCAGAGGGAGGCAGGACAAAATACCCACTGTGGAAGAGAGCTAGAGTTTAAGAATAACTAATGATTAAATGTCCCGAGTCCCTTAAAATGTGTGTATAAACACATATAGAGTGAAAAGAGGTGAGTGAAGAAGAAACAGTATGGGAAGCCCCCATCAGTCTAGGCCTATTGCAGCATAAATAAGAAAGGGTTGAGGTTCAAGTTTATCACAGACCTCTTGCGCCAATACCACAGGAGGTCTATTGATAGCCACCCATTTGTATGTAAACTTAGCAGAACAGCAGTGGGGACAGAGAATCTCCTTGGTAGATTCTGCACTTCATGGTGACCTATGCTATGGACTTGAAGGTGGCCTCTGGTGTTGTTTGCCACATCCCCACTGAGCTCCTGATGAAGGTGTAACAGGTATTACAATTAAACAACATGAGATATGCATTAAATTATTGTCTCGACAACTTTGGATCAGTATCAGAAAGTTCTAGGTAAGACTATGGAGCCTTGAAAGGATCAGCAGAGAAGGAACCACACAATGAGAGAAGATGTGATTTAAATAGAAACTGTATTGAAAGTTGTAAAGTTTACAAACCCTGCCTGTCTAAAGCCGGCTTCCTACAGTGCACAAACGCACATTAAAGGGCTCAAAAATAAAATCAAAACAACATCCTCTTTAAGGAAATTCTCCAAAGAGTTTCAATTAAAGAGCTTCCGCTCCTATTGCTCAGTCCACTTCTCTTTGGAAAGAGAAATTAGAGTTCCTTGTGTGTGTGTGTGTTTCTGTCCATTGGTTCTAACACTACCCGGGTAGATTTTTAAAGTGTTAGTCTTATCTGTATCAAGGAAGGTAGTAATAGTCCTGAGGTTCGCTGAAGATGGATCCCACGGCTGGCCACACCGCACTCGGGTCCGTCGACAGTCACTCTCTTGGGATTGGCTCGCCACTGAACCCACAGGGTTCAGATCTCAAATGATCCCGTCCTGGTCAAAAACCAATCTATGCACACAGTGCAGAGTGCATACATTACTATTTTATCTATGCTTTTTCCATCACTCATCTTTCAGTCAAGTATTGCTCAAGTATAGCAAATTATTTTAGTTATACAATGGCTCAACCATCATGAAATAACTTGAGTTACATCACACAAGGTCTTAGTGCAACAGAAAATATACCTTATATTTACCCTTTTGGGAATAAATAAACTTATAAGATTCACTCTCCCATATTTATCCTTTTAACAGCTTGCTTTTAACTTTAGCACTTAAAATTAAACATCTGCACATCAGTGATGTTACAGTACTTTAAACATAAATATCACAACTCCGATTGGTTTTGTTTTTTAAAGCAGAAAATATATTAACAGCAGTCAACTACATGTCTTTATGGTGCTAACATTCATGTAGCATCCCTTACCGGAGCTCGTGGTGAGATAGCTCGTCCAGCTGACGCAGCTTCCCACGGCCGTATTTCACAGATCTCAGATCCTAATAAATAGCCATCTGTTAACAGCTAGTATGTGAAGATAAATTGCGAATTTAACTTTTATTTCAGCTTTTCTTACCAGGATCTTTCAGCTAATTTGGCGGTTGCCTCGTGAGTAACGGCTTCCACAACAGGAAATGTTGACTAACAGAAAGTCATCTCAAGGCATACTCGCCTCCTAGCGGCGGGGTGGGAAAATTACACCTCCAACCTTATGGAGCAGCACAACCCACAAATCTGATGTGGGTTACAAAGGCTCTTAGGGTCCTGTTGATCTTGTATAGTTCTAGGCATTCCAGAATCCATGTGTGGGGCATTGAGTCATTGGCTTTCTTGTAGTCAATCTAGGTGGTGCTGTGGTAGGTCAGTCTGGTCTTGCAGTCTTGGGCAACTGGTCTGTCTACCAGGAACTGGTGTTTTGCACTTCTAGTATTGTTGCGAATTCCGTTCTGTGCCCCGCTTATGTGCCTGTTCATCTTAGCCGCTATGATACCTGAAAGGAGCTTCCATGTAGTACTGGTAGTTGGATGGGACTGGTCCCTTCTGGAGTTCCTTGAGGATCAGGACTATCCAGGCTTCAGTCAGGCATTCTGGGTGTCTCTTGTTGACTAGCAGCTAGTTCATTTGAGCTGCCAAACGCTTATAGAGTGCAATCAGCTTCTTCAACCAGTAGGCGTGAAACATGTTGGGGATGGTGCTGTCCAGAAGAAGAATGTTAGAAGGTTCTGTGATGAAGTGCTGGTTTTTTCTTCTACCTTCTATCTCTCTGATGTACCTCTTCAATCAACTGGCCAAGGCTGTGAGTCTTTGCTTGGCAGTTTCCAAGGCTCAGGTATGGGCACCTTGCTGTATTTCTTAGGCACCTTCTTTATTGCACCTTTCTGCAGCTCCAATTTTTGATTAAGTTTCCTCTGTGCTACCTTGACCTCAGCCTCTAATCTCCTTCTCCATGGAGGTTACTGCTCCGTGTGCCTGTTCATCTTGTAGCCAAGCATCTCAGTGACCACTACTGCCGTGGTCTAGATCAGCTGGTTGGTTTCAGTAATGGTTGGAGTAGGGATTGTCCGTAATGCTGCAGTCCCATCTTCTAGTAGACTTTCAGAGGGTACTTCATGCAGTCTTGGTAACCAGTTACGGAGGATCCAGGTTTCCAGCTTTGCCATGATCCTATCTTTCAGGTCAGCTGCTCTCGCGATCAGCACTCCTGCTTCCATCATACTTAGGGCTTGGTACGCCATCTCGGGTACACATTTATAACAGTTATCATCAATGCATTTTATGTTTACTATGAAACATGTATCTGAGAATTTTCATTTATTGGGCACACCTATAATATCTATCCTTCAGCATGAATTATGTATAAATTATTGCCTCTCAGATCACGGCCAGAGAAAATGGATGGATAGCTCTATTTTCTAAAAGGAAAAGAATAAATGAGCACACTCAGCAGAAAATACGTTTTCACTAACATTTGAAGGAAAAAATGTATGTGCGTCTGGTTGTACTAAAATTTAAAGATTCAGTAACTTGTGCAGCTCACCACATTCAATGCCAGTGTCATTGTGAGAGTTGCCATGCTACCAGTGACCACCAACACTTGCACAACAGATTGTCTCGTGTTTTAGCTTAATGTGGATTCAATAATTTACATACTTGTTAAGTAAAAAATGCTGGCAGCATCCTTAACTTGTAGTTACTGGACTGAAATTGCATTTTTTATGGTTAGGTTTATACACTGGCAACATCTGGCCAACTAGAGGGAAAGACAGTGGTTTGCTTTGATAAAGAAATTTCGAACACAATAAACTGTATTTCAGATCCACTTTAGACTCATTTTCTGTCTAAAGTGAGAGCAGTTCAGCATATGATATGATACCATTGCCCACACATTGATAATTATATAACAATACAGTAGGGCTGTTCGATATATAACGATATATATCGGATGACGATATAAAAACATCTATCGTTTCATTTTACGCTATCGTTTGTTTCGTGGTGTCGCAAAATAAACTGTTTACGGCAATATTTTTTCATCGTTTTGATGGTCACTGTAGTGGCTATATTAATTTCTTAAAGTTCTCTCTTTCTCTTATATTTAATATAACCACACTACGGACGGACAAGCGCCTGTTTTTATGCGTTGTGGTTAGCAACAACGACGGTAACACCATCGCGTGTCCGCTTGTTTATGTTCCACATAAACCTTTCACAATAAAGCTCAAGATCCTGTTGAGACTTTTCAAAATAAACTGAATCACGTGAAAGAGCAGATTATTTACGGATGAGAAGTAAAAAAGAGCCGCCAGGTGCTAAAAAATAAACCTTAGACTCAAACGTTAGAACAGGCTTTTCCCCGCAGCACGCCGTGTAATAAATACTACAAAGAAAACGGCGGCCGTTACAACTTATGTCTAAAAATGTATAGTTTCATGCATCGGTTAAAACACTCGACTCCGGGTAAAGGACGCGCAGCTGGAAACACTTCACGCAAGTCGAGCTGCCCGAGATTCACAGAATTTACAGAAAATGTTACATTTTTGTGATTTATATCGTTATCGGGACGATAGAATTCTTATATCGGTATATGAGATTTTGGTCATATCGCACAGCCCTACAATACAGCAATTCTATGTTACTGGACACACTGCAATACCATCATCTGGTAAGAGTAATAATGGCCATTAAAAGACAAAAAGCAGGAAACGTGTCATTTCAGGGATTCTGATAATAATTATTAAAAAGGGGTTAAATGAGCAAAGGTTTTATGTTTTTGCCATTAAAATCTTGTCTTTAGTACCTGAACATTTAGCATAGTACAATGTAGTGCATCTCCAAATCATATTTAGTGATTACCAAGAAGACATCTGAGCACAGTGTCATATAACTGCAAGTATTTACTCATAAACATCAGACATCATTTCTTCAAGGTTAACATGTTGCATGTAATATAGTTACACAAATGCAATTAAAGTAGTCTGAAAGAAAGAGAAAAATAAAGTTCCTGAAAACAACACAGATAAGTTGTGTATCTAGAGTGTAGTCCAGAACATAATTCGCTACGACATACCGCCGCTTCACATGTTGCACACGTTAACAATTGTTTTGAGTAGCATTTAGTAATACTAAGTTGCAAAAAATGTAGCCAAAGTTCATCTTTCTGTGTCTACTCTCCAAACAGGCAACTCTGGTCAAATGCTTCACTTATATTACGGTTAGGTGAATATTAACTTCATTGAAGTTACAATGAAAAGAAAGGAAAGGAGTGTAAAACGCATGCAGAACCCTCATTCGTCCTTTGTTAAATCTGTGAGCAAACAAAAGAAAAGGCATCTCCACTGAACTCTGTACAAAACAGCTATTAAAAGAACAAAATGATCGATACATTATCATCTTCACAAAGGGAATATTTTAGACCATCGAGAATACCCATGTGGACTTTTTATACAGTCTTCTACAGTGAAGTTCATGACGTACACTTGCTCATGAGTCTATCAATCTACATTGCTTTTAAAAACGTGGTATGTACAATGCAATATGCAGTCAGCGATCCACCTGTACTATAGTTTCTTCTATAAACAAACTCTATAAAATAATAAAAATACCTTCTGTTTGCTACAGGGAAACTATATTATTTTGCTCTCGATGTTTCCCTCGCCATAGACTGGTAAATCAGACCACTTAGATAATATTACAAGCTGCAACACTTCCTCTGTAGTCATGATATGTATGAAAACAATGCAAACAAAATGCAATAAAGTGGATGCATATATTCAGAATCATTTCGCTCCGTTGAAGGAAGCCACTGCAAGTGCAAATAAAACCAAAAACGAACGGAAGGAGAGGAAAAACAGGGATGTAATGACCGCTGGACATCTCGAGTGCTGTTTTTGCAATGCATATAGCACCCTCTTGTGGTAATTTCTTGTACTGCATCTAAAGCATTTGAAGGTAAAAAAGGGGATTTCAACCAGTTCCTCTGTACTCTACATCTGTGTAACTTATAAAGAAAACATTATCAGATTTTCATTTTCACCCCTTATAGAAGTTTTGTGTCCATTGCCAAATTTGCAGTGGATAGAGATCACATTTGGTTACAAAGACATGCTAAACTGTTCAGAAAATGGTGAACATTCAGCTACAAGGAGGCAAACAGTCTTTGTTCAGCAAAATATTTCTCGCTTGACCCTTAAAACTGCTCTCAAGTGACTTGTTAGCACTTTTGGCTCTGCCCCACCAAACTAAATTAAAATACTAAGATGAAACTTAGCTGATATCAAAATTATAGACACGTAAGCCTCATCCTCTGGTGAGAAAAAAAGAAAAGAAAAAGGAAACACATTTTTCCAGGAGTGTGCAAAGTGTGTGGCATGTGTGACATATGTTCAGTCAGGATTCAAGGTTTTCCTCTAACACCAGCAGCCTTTGCGTTGGTCGCCAGCAGCACTGTCACAGAGTCCCTCCTCTTCCTCCAGAGCAGTGAGATTGAGCTCGTCGTTAACGGACATCCGGAGTAGATCCAGGTCCTTTTTGTTGGCTGCCAGCACCTGCTCAGCCAGTCGTGTAAAAGTCTTTGGAGGAGACACATAGACATGATGAGACACCCCGTGATGCAATTACAGGTACATGCATTTCTGTGCATGGCCTTGAGAGAAGTGTCTCCCCGTGTAACCTCACCTCTGTTATATTATGATTGGTGAAGGCACTTGTCTCAAAGAAATCCATTCCATAAGCCTTGGCCAGCTGGAAGACAGATTACGGTGAAAATGGGAGCAAATGGAAAAAAACTGAGCACGTTATGCTTCTTTAGTCCCTCTCTCCCGAATAATCCCAGGTATCTAAACAGCAAAGCAGAGCCACAAAATCGAACTCAAGTTCTGCTAGGTACACATAGCCATCGATGCCAGAGTGACCCACCTTGATGCCTTGCTCAGTGGCCACCTGCCTCTTGTCCACTTCATCCGACTTGTTCCCTACGAGGATCTTCTGGACCTTGTCAGGAGCGTACTGCAGGGGTTTGTGATGTGGACACGAAGAGATGTTTACAGACAAGGGAGAAGAGCAGAAAACAAAATGAAAGCGATAAGACAGCAGAGAGCTGTTTCAAATGCCAGGAGAATGCAGAGAGCGCGACAGTGTACAGGAAATGAGACCTAGATTAAAAGCAAGTGGGAAGCGTGCCAGCATCAATAGGTGATATATTTGGAGAGACCCATAGAGGAAATTACATTCATAATGACTAAATTAATAGCATAAGATCACCTGGGAAACGATAAAGGGGAGCGGAAGACGAGAGAGCTTTATGAAGAAAAAGTGAGCGCATGTGGAAAAACCGTGTTCTTTCCGATATTTATGACAAACGAAGACGAAACACCGTAAACGCAGAATAGCTGTCAGGTCAGTGTGTTTGGTTTCTATCACACCATGCCAGCCATATGTTCTTCGTCAAGCTGGAGCCTCTGCACACTCGGTCCATTTGTTACTTCGGGCCTTTCGACAGCGTTGAAGAAAAATGTGCCTGATTTATTGAGTTCTTAAATCCCAAATCACACTGACTCACCTCGTCCACGTCGCTGGCCCACTTCATGATGTGCTGGAACGATCGCTCACTCGTGATGTCATATACCAGGAAGATGCCCTGAAAAGAGACGGTCAAAGATTTTAAAACAACAACAACATGCATATTTTTCAAGCACCTTTGAGATCTATGTTTACAAAATGTTGCTTGAACCCTTTTTGGAGCATTTCATAACACGTTCCTATGATTCCCATAAACAAATCAGACTAGCACTTGGAAAACTGGCTGCCTCTACTGGCAGTGTGTTCTGTGTTGTGAGCCACAGTCTGGAAGAGAAATCCACTCAACTGTTTTAGAGCACAAAACAGGATAAAGAAACTTTCCTTTCAATTTCATTACCAGTTTCTGGTAAATAGACAATTAGGTTTCAGCCAGTTTAACCTCTTTAGCAGCCCAAAACAAATTTCATACTGCTGCGAAAGGGCTACACACTCCTTTGAGGAAAGGAAGAACATTTACGACACCACTAGTCTCAGATAAAATCCTTTTGTTGTGAAAACCTCAGGGTAGCAGCTCCACTATGATTCCTTTAGGAGAAGTAACATAAGCAGCTGTAAGGATTAGGCAAGGGTTATTCTTGTAGCTGGAACAAACTGAATTTAAAACAGATTAGACTTAAATTTGTACTGTGTGTGTGCAGAAATAATATTGCATCAATTTATGGCAGAGTAACTGTAGGAGACTTAAGCTACCTGCGCTCGTCTGTAGTACTGCTTAGTGATGGTCTGGTACCTTTCCTGGCCCGCAGTGTCCCTGCAAAACAAACATATATGAATATTCATTTGGTGATTATAATACAATGATATGGAGTGCAGGAGGCAGGTAATTAGAAGTGTTGAGGCTAAAGAGGACACTTAGCAAAATCTCGACCAGACACCTAAAATACCTTTTCAGCTTTTCAGACAATAACAAAAAAAAAGGGCAAACTGTGGTCAGCAGAGCTTTTTTTAGTGACTCTTGTGCAGCTTTTGCAATGTCAAAGTTAAGACTTCAGGTAAACAGATGTATGTGAAATGTGGGTTATAGGCTCTCTAGATAAAATGCAAAAAAAACCAAAACAGCAGTTGATCTGTGATCTGGTTAAATTCATAAAAGTCTTTTCTAAAAAAAAAAAAGAAAGAAGTTGAGCGATTTAGCTGCATTTTAACAATTTTTTGCATGAAAAGAAAATTCCCTCATGCATTTCGATTTCTACTTAATTCTACAACGTCAGTGTGACGCATCAGTGGTTAAGTTTGGGAAAATGTCATCACTCTAGTTGTGAGTTATGACAGGGCACAAACTCCAGGTTTGGTGCTACAAAAATAGTAAAACATACGTGACTAAAATGACTTCTAGGTGAAGTCAAAACAGGTGGGCTTTAAACCTGGATGCTATCTGAA